CTAATCAAGTGTACTGAGTCACTAAGTCTTAAAAAGGAATGCTTAGGAATTACTCCCATAACTACTGACTTTGTTTACTTCATAATAATTTCCATTATTTGAGAAGAGGGAGTAACCTCTGTAATCTAGACTTGCTCTTTTTAATGAAGTTAAGCTCTCCTGGTGATGTGAAGTGTCAGGAGGGAGTTTGGAATTAACTGACTTGAGTGACAACATGCTACCAGACACAAATGGTAAACACCTTTAGAATAATGAGCAGCCTTCTGTAATATGGCTAGGCTTCTACAAAAAAAAAATACATCTGGGAATGCAGTGAAATGTTCTGTTTCTTGAACATCAGAGCATAGTGGACTTCTGTTTGTAGATCAAGTAGCAGAAATTGAAGTCAGTCAAAATTCAGTAGTGTTGTCTACACTTCTAAGTAGTGACTGACAGTATTGTCAAAAAGAGTATTGGAATATACTGAGTATGTTATACTACTTCCTCACAATGTTCTCCAACAGTTTGCTGCTTGAGGATTTTCTGATCCAGAGGACAGCATGTACCTATTTAATTATCTGGGGGGTTTGTTTTTGTTTTGTTTGGTTTTTTCCCATTAATTTGTTTGTCTGTGCAATAGTGCAATTTGGAATAGAACATCACACTCTGAAGTTTTAGCTGGTGAGCAGTGAAATTTATCATTCAAAACAGAATAGCAGACGCATGCAAATTGTAAAGGTGAAGTAAACTCTGCAGAAGGAAATACTTTTGCAGTATTCTATTACGAGTATTGGTTCTAATAAAATACATGACAGTAGCAAATAATGTAATATGGTATTATGAGATGTCCAGAAGACATTGAGTTAACTTTTTTTATTAAGAAAGCAGTGAAGGTTCTTTGGAAGGAGTATATCTTCTTCAGCCAAAAACTGCCTTGAGTGATTCTCCTAGTTTATCCTAATAAAATACTGCCCAATCTATCCTTCTAATTATCTGTAATATTTGCATATGAAATTTTCCTGTTAGTTAAATTAGTAAGTCTGGTCACTAGAGGTATCAAAGCAAGCTGAACAAATTAAACTGTAATAATAAAATATTAGCTCTCCATAAAGGAAGTTTCATAATTTTGGGATAGGTAAGTTCATACCTGCAGTAGTGAACTTGTATAGAAATAATCTATCAGCTACTCCAATCACCCACCAAAGTAGCACAACGTTTTCATTATTGTGTGATGGTTGAGTAACACAAATGAACAGCAGTAAGTGACTGTCCATTCTTTGCTAGGCTGCTTGTCATCACTTTTTCTCTCTACCTAGTGTCAGTTGTCTCATTGAGGGAAAGATTC